TGCTAGAAGTTATTGAAATATTTATATCAATAAATTATATAAAAATGCTAATATAATTTATAGTAAAATTTATATTTCAACTCTATCATTTACTTATAATAAGATTTAGCTGCAGCTTGCAAGAAACTGCAGCAGCAAGAATCCAGCGAACATCAATCCATTTGGCAAATCTCTTGGTAAGGGTATTTGAATTTCATTGAATTTCCCTCTTTCTTTTTGGCTTCTTTTTTTTTTTTTTTTTTTTGTGATGTGTTCCCTTTCCAGCTACTGGCATAACCCAATTTACTTTGTCTATCTGGCTGCTGCTGCTGCTGCTGCTACGACGTCGACGACGCTAAAGAAAGTTAATTAAGAAAGTTTGATTTCTTATGGCTAAATAACGCTCGAAAGTTTTACCGACTGACAAATATCGACCAATACTCGAAAAAATAAAAATAAAACAAAAAAAAAAGCACAAAAAAAAAAACAAAAAATAGGAACACATAAAACAAATAATGTATCAGTTAGCCAGTCTAACTAACTAGCGAATACCCTATATGACGACCTACCTGGCATAAGCAAAGAGACATAAATAAAGAAGTTACTTTATCAGCTTTAAGTTGTCAATTAATTCTCACAAACTTCTATCTATCACGTAGGGTATATATTATTCCGATATACCCGCAATGGATCAGCTATTCATTTATCGCGCATGTATTTGCCATCATTTCATCTTCTACCATAATCGTGCACTCCCTGTGCCGCATCTATTTGGTTATAGAGTATAAAAATGATGAAGTTGAGCCTTCCACATCGCATATACCCCGCCACCCCCCGCCGCTGCTCCACAGCCCCCATTGATAAGCAATGTTGAGTGGCTATGGATTCGAAGGGGTTGCCGCGATTGCCCTAACAGTGAACGGCGGGCGATGGGCGATGGGCGGTGGGCGGTGGGCGGGGTTTATATGGCCAAGGCGGCGGATGAGCAATAAAAAGTTTTGAACGGCTTTTTCACTGCCTCGGTTAAAACAAATCAACAAATATTTGCGATATATTTATATATTTATATGCTTGCTGGCACACACAACTGCGAGTATACGATATTTATGTAGTACAACGATCTGCTGAAGGACAACATCAAACTTTGAGTTAAGCATTCAATGTGATTAACGGGAGACAATTGGAAGAGAGTGGAGTGGTTAAGTGGTACGATATACATATGTATATGTATGTGTATGGTATAATTTATTGGTAGTTGCCAATTGTGAGGTATAACGGCTTATTGGGATGTAGATAACAGAGATAAGCAGGCATGTACAGTATATGCTGGATATTTATACAGATTAAATAATTTTGACGAGTGCAGCGTTGCTTGTTACTCTTCTTCTTCTTCTTGCTATTCAACTGCGATTACACTAATCACAGGTCCACACTCGATATTAGTGTCAACTAACATCCCACTAAATCGAAATCAGCCAATACTATGCATGCAGAGATACAGTAGACTCCGGTTATAACGACTCCGCTTATAGCGTCTGTACGGTTATAGCGTCTGTACATTTATATGAGCAAACTTATACGGTTATAGCGCCTTCCGGGTATAGCGACGGTGTCTTGAGTGTCGTTATAACCGGATTCTACTGTATATGGATAAGATATTCTATTCGAATAAAAGTATCATCTCCAACATGTACATATATACATATATAGCCTTATTGTCTAGCATCGATCTTGGATAGTAAGAGCTAAAGCTTTTACATAGATAGACAACTCTAGTTTATTGACAATCTTCGATATCTTTAACGCTTAACATAAAATCGATAACTATCGATTTCCAACTTCAGCAGTTTTCAGCAAATTTTAGAGTTTAAATATATATCAATGTTTTATTCACTCAATTGTTTTAATTCACTTCACTGTTTTAATTCACTCAAAAAAAAAAAAAAAAAAAAAAAAAAAAGAATGATTGAGTAAAAGATTAACCTAATTTCACATTCAAATATAATCATTAATTCAAAATCAAACCAACATTGTTCCAGTGTATTCCCCATTCAATCGCTGCCCGACTACACCACATTCACCTTTGTTTTTTTAAGCTGGTGTAATAGGAGCTTCGCAGAACTCTCTTGATGGGCTGTCTTTGCTAGTTCTTTCCGTTGGACGCCGGCCTGCTAGGAACAGATGACACCGGACACCGGAGAGACTTTGCGATAGCATGTCGCAAAGTACGTCAAAGATGTCATCAATGAGCTTGTCGGCGAACAGAACATTTCCATGTTAATAGACCCAATCAAGTTGACGCTCTTTGCGGCAAACTTTTCATTAGGTCTGAGTGCGCAAGGACTCCGCTTTGATGCGGCCCTCCACTTTGGTGTAGCCTGGCAGCCCTACTTCAGTTAATGCTAATTGGCACAGTCAGCTGCATCAAAGCGCTGCCACTGCCACATCGGCTGCCACTCATTTCCATGTTTCGCATTGTTGTTTCTGTTGCTGTTGCTATTGCCGTTGCTATTGCCGTACAGACATGGGCCATTGTAAAAGATGTGGGACGCATTTAAGGCGCTAAACAACTTAATGACTTCCTGCTAGTTAGGCACTGGACACAGTCACCCTTAGACTCACTTACAATGTCTGCTCACACATACACACACACACACACAGAGAGTCGAATGTGTCAACAAGGACAACAGCAACAACAGTATTAGAGCAGTACGAATGAGTGTTTCCTTTTGGTCGTCGACCACAGACGCCATTATCCAAGCACCAAGGAAGTTGGCGCCAACCAAATAAAAAAAATAAATAAAATAAAAATAACAAAGTTCAGGATGTGCCTGACTGTGGCATACTCTACGCGAAAAGCATAGCATATGGGGAAGTAGCTAAAGAGTTTACATAGCCAAACTTGATCGGCTAAATTTATAAAAGTTACTGTGACTATCTTTACTCATCACTTATTATGCATTACTCATTATTCATTACTCATTACTCATTACTCATGACTCATTACTCATTACTCATTACTCATTACTCATTACTCATTACTCATTACTCATTACTCATTACTCATTACTCATTACTCATTACTCATTACTCATTACTCATCACTAAGCATTCATCACTCATCACTCATCACTTATGACTTATCACTCATCACTTATTACTTATCAGTCTTCAATTTTTACTTATCACTTTTCACTTATCACTTGTCATTATCCAATCAACTCTTACCTCACCTCATCACCTACTTACCACATATAACTCATCTTTCACACAATATATAAGCTTTCAGTTTTCTCTTTTCACTTATTACTTATCACTACTTACTTATCACACACTACTCATCAGTTCTCATTATGAATTCATCGCTCATCAGTGATGGTCATCACTTATCACCTCATCATTATCCACATATCACTCGCTTTCGTCTTTTAGGAATTACTTTCTTGCAAATGTATAGACAGCAATATACCCGCTCTGTGTACAGAGTAGAACTGTCCATGATTTTCGATATACATGTATATTATTTTCCTCTTATCTCTTCCAGACGAGTCCAGTAACACCTCCAAACTCTTCATGCCATATAAAGGCTGTATATCTATATATCTATATAGCTGCATTCTGCACTTGCAAACTTCATATACTCTTTACTGCTCGAAGAAACAGAGTAAATAACAAAATTTATAAAAAAAAAAAAAAAAAAAAAGAATTTATGTGCCACTTGCTTCACATTATCTCACTTGGAAGTCGAAGTGTGTGTGTGTGTGTGTGTCTGTGTGTGAGGGAAATGGCAATGCGGTTGTATGGACAACGTCTTCAGCGAGTACATAAAATTTTAATGCAAATTTCCATTCTATAATTGTTCATACTTGGACACATTTGCATTTATTAAGCGCTGTCTCTGCCTGAGAGTAACTCTGTCTGTGTATGTGTGTGTGTGTGTGTGTGTGTGTGTGCTGGCGAGTATGACACTGAATGGAGCGGGGTATTGGTGGGAATGGAGGCGTTACCAAGCCACTTAGTTTGCGTTTATTGGCCTCGTCTCTTGATGTTTTATGAGCTCCCCATCCTTCTTTTACCCTGCTACGTTATTGTTGTTGTTGTTGTTGCAGCTGATTTTGACGTTGCTTTTGGTTATTGCTATTTGGTTAAATTATGTTCAGCATTCCATTCGAGATTTGTTTTTTATTGCGCCGCCCTTATTGCGTGGGTAAGTACAGCATCAAGCAGAACTTTGGCCTGGAGGCCCAATAGCCGCGATGGCTCGACTCTCCCTTCAATTCAGCCAACTTCAGCAGCTGCATTATTGCCATTATGGCCGGCTCAGAGAGAGAGAGAGAGAGAGAGACGGCAAGAACCAAGCTAAAATGAATTCGAGCATCAGTTCGGATATGAGTACGAGTAGCAAATCGGATGACACTAATAGATCATAATCTTTAGCTCCATTTGGATTGCAATATATATATATTTCTTATAGTCTTGCTCTGCTGAAACCAGCGAGGATTAAGTTGCCTCGAATTGACTCGATTAAGTTTTGGAACACTCGCAGCGAGCAACTGTGGTGGCAACCCTCGGCCATTTACAAAACAGCTCGTTTGGGTCGCGCGGCGTCTGTTCTGCGGCGTATTTGACGGCATTTCATTTAATAAAATGAAACGCAAATGCAAAACGACAAACGGAGCAGGCCCTAAGATGGCAGACAGACAGACAGTGACACAGCAGCTGGAACTGTGGGCGGGGGGCAGACCGAGCAGCAGGAGGCGCAACAGAAGCAGGAACCGCTGGGTGCTGAGAGCAACAGACAATGCCATTGCGGATATGACGCTGAAGTGTTGAACCAAATCAGCAGCACTTTTGTGTTATTAGAAGTTGTAAAAAACATAAAATAAGAAGAAGAGAAAACAGAAAAGAACAATCCAGCATTGTCTTGAGCGGGGGCTGGGGCTGGGCCTGCGCCTGAAGGGGCGTGGCACTGCCAATTGCCAAAGCGAAGGCAAGGAAAGCAAAACGATGACAGGACAGATTCATGGGCGCAACATGTGATGGCTGAACGGGCCGACGGGACGCGTCTTCAGCTTCAGCGTCAACGACAGCTCCAGCTCCAGCTCCAACTCCTGCTCCAACTCAACGGAAGGCAGTTAAATGTCGTTACGTGTCCCGCAAATTGACAGGCGTTTTTTAATTTGCTGAAAACTTGGACAAATAGTATCTACTTGTACTATATCAGATACCATTAGTCAACAAAATTGTTTCCCATAAAGCAACAAATGCCAGAGCTCAAGGGCGTGACTAGCAGATACCCTCTATATCTATATCTATATCTATATCTATATCTATATCTATATCTATATCTATATCTATATCTATATCTATATCTATATCTATATCTATATCTATATCTATATCTATATCTATATCTATATCTATCTATATCTATATCTATATCTATATCTATATCTATATCTATATCTATATCTATATCTATATCTATATCTATATCTATATCTATATCTATATCTATATCTATATCTATATCTATATCTATATCTATATCTATATCTATATCTATATCTATATCTATATCTATAAGTGTCTGGAATTTGTGAAAAGTTCAGTAAACGAATTGCGCTGCGAGCCGCTGTCTAAAATACAATATGAATGAATGAAGGGGGTGGAGGGTTGATGAGAGCAGAGGGGAGGGTAGGATAGATATTTTGGGCAGTAAAGCATGCCTCACGCTGGGCAAGTGGCACAAGTTTGTTGTTCCGTTACCCGGTTAGCTTTTTTACAACTTTTGGCTAAGAAGTTTGCAAGCTCCGAGCTGGCCAAGATAAAAGTAAAACTTTATGCAATAATAGCTCAGACGAGCTCCAGAGCCAAGGAACCGCACAGCCAGATACGTTCGGTGCGGCAGGTTGGCCGGTTCGATGGCATTGGCCAGCCATGCTGTGCACGTTATTGCTAACATATGTTGCTCGATATTATTAAAGTACGATAAAAATGCAACAGCATTAGCAGAAGTAGCTGTTAGTGCAACCAAAATGGAGCACAACAACAACAACAGCCACAACAGCAACAACAACAGCAGCAGCAGCACTTGCACTGGCATGCAACTGCAACAAATCATTTTTTGGAGCCAGGCAACAGCAGCAGCAGCCCGCCCTTACTGCCACAGCCACGCCCACTGGCCGTACCCTGTCTGTTTACCTAGCTCGACATGCCACGTAGTAGATGAAGCAGCGCACTTAATTTATGTTTGTTGTGGCTGTTTTAATTTTCATAGAATTTCATGTTGTGCGATTACTCCAGCACAAACACACACGCAACCCACACACACACACACACACACACACACACTCACATTTACTATATAAACATAGCAATAGTTCTCATATAGTCAGAGTCTCTGGCGTGCTGGCGTGGGCGTGGGCGTGGCATGCAATTGTTTTTGCGCTTGACTGCCAACGCCTCGCAGCGCAGCTGCAAAAATTTGTTGAAACATTCTAAAACACAAGCAAACTTCTAGCAGTCGACTTGATACACTGACAGCTATTTAATATTAAAAGAAAAGACTGCAAGTAAAGAACAACCGAAATTAAATAGATTTTGTTAATATGGGGCATTACGAACTAAACTTACTTCACTTGGCATACAGACTTACTTGAGATGAGCAGACAAAGGAGCAGCCCTATGAGTTATGATCAAACATATATAATTAGTTAAGCACATCTAAATAGCTAACTACTCGCAGTTAGGGTAAAGCCTGTGGCGTTACACAGAACAAAAGGAACTAAACGAGAACTTTAATTAATTTGCGAGCACGCAAATTGACAGAAAAATGTAAACCATTAAAACAATAATTAATGCAATCAAAGCTTTTATCTAATTTTATTTAATTACGCTTATTTTGTTGGGAACGTTGAATAGTTATTCGTTTTAAATTTCGCACAGCTACGCGGATTTTTCAGCTCAATTGTGGTTGAATAGTTAACTAGGTGCATTAAATGTGGCTTATATTAATATATGTATGTAAATATAGGTATTAGCTTAAAAAGCTAGCCATGCAATTAATCTAAGCCTATCAGCAGGTAGCTACAAATATATGTAATTAGATTGCAATTTTTAAGTTTGGTATATTAACAACTAAATGTATAAATTAATCATCAAACCTGCTTCACTTACTCAATTCATTTTTAAATATACATACCTACATGTGCATACATACATACGCAATGCACACATTCATAATGCATAGCGAAATCAGTTTACAGTTGCCTAATTGTGCTCAATTTTGTCGTGATTGGCTGCTGCTCTTGCACTAGTATTAGTGAGAGACTGAGCGCGTGCATAGAGCTGTTGTAAAAATATTATCCGAGTGAGTTTGCGTTTTAGTTGCTCACTGCTCATTTCTGCTCGCAGCTTCTACTCACTGCGAGGGAGCGAGACAGCGATAATGGTTGCTGAACGCAGGCCGCCTGCTGTAGCTGAGTGGGAGAGAAATGACTGCTTAGACCCCTTGGCAGCTTAGTTGGAACTTCGATTCACGAATAGCAGGCGGCTATAATTGGGCAGTCTGAGCGAGACAGGATGATTTCGTAGAAACGCAAAGTGAATGGCATAAAATGATCAAATTAGAATGAGAGAGGATCAAGTTTAGACAGCCCCATGATGTATCTATGTATTTACTTTGGAATTCATGCTGCAGCTATATAAAAATATATTTGTATATATATGCTGAGGTATGCTATTTACAACAGAAAAGCTAAAAGTTTTCTATATAGTTTTTTGAATGTATATATATAGATATACCATATATATAATGTCTTTATATTTATATTGCGCTGCCTGAAGGCGTTTGTTGCTCTGGCTTAAAACTTGTTATTTAGAATTAATTCTTTGTAACAACTAAATAAATAAATAAATATTTATATTGCGATATTTTTTAATAAACGTTTTACAGATCTTGTCATGAAAATTGAATTTTTCAAAAGAGAATAATTGAATATACTTGTAATTATATTTGTATTTCACATGACATCGATATTTTTCAACATTTTCGCTAAAAATGTACACGCTGACCTCAGCAGATGTGGGGCAGAGCTCATTCTAAAAGTATGTGCATTCATTCATTTATTTATTCAGTTAGTCAGTCATTTGTTCATTCTCTCATTCGTTCGACTGGCCTGCGGCAATAAAGAATGACAAAAACAGCAGAGCGCTGAAAATCTGCGCCAGCAATTAAAATAGCACAACAAAAGAGCTTTCCGCTGGTTTGGGGCCCGGCCGCAGCTGTTGGAGCCGGTCAGCCGGGGAGCTGCGCGAGCTAAAACCGAACTGGAGTGGCGTGGACAGAGAGCCGCTGGTCAGCAGGAAGCAGCTCGCCAAACAATTGCAAATCAAAATATTGCACTTGCACTCAATTGAACGCACAAAGCGTCAAGCAGCACAAAACAAATGGTGCGAAAGCCAAGTCCACAGGCAATGCGGGGCAAGCAGACGGGCCAGCCAGACCGACGGCCAAATACACTTTCCAAATGCTGAAGGACTCAGGCATTAGCTCACCATTGATACACTATGGCAGCTGTGCGATTACAGTTACACGATCTGGCTGTTCCTGTTCGAATCACTTAAGTGCCGTTGGCATGCATTGATACCCTTCAAGCAATAAAGGGTAGCACCGAAGGCAATGGTCTCCCGAAGGTCAGCGCAGACACTGAGCAGCATTCGAGCAAAGTGGTCACTCTGCCGAGGCATGTGGCCCAGGTATCCGATTGCTAAAGCTGTTAGCAGCTCTGCAGCCCAGCGGGTGGGCGGCGGGGTAGATTTGTGCGGAGCATTGATATCGTATAAGAGACTATAATCAGCTAGATTTGTGGATATTTTATTGTGCGCTCTGGATTCCTTCTCGGACCATGTTGCTGAAAACGGAAAATCGGCAACATAAGCTTGCCAGTCTCTCACATGATCTGTCTTCCTCTCCTTCTCGCCCACACACTGCCACACTCTCTCTGTCTCTCTTTCTCTCTATGCATCCCTTTTATGGGAATTAGAGTTGTATATATAAAAAAAACCGATACATATGTATATCGACAGCTATCGATAGCTCCATTGCTTAGTTATTGTGAGATATCAATGTGTCCCTCCCACTCATTTAGTCTCTCAGTCCCACACTCCATCTCTGTTTCACATCGTGTGTCTTAGATTATCAGAACCTTGAATGGACATATATTCTATATCAATATATCGAGATATCGCTAACTTTTTTTAAGTTGCTTTTCTATAACAGATATACATTTCTCTCCCTCTCTCTCTATCTCTATATTTCTCTCGATCTCTCATTTCATTTCACTCTCGCCGACATCAACTGATAAGAGCAAAACAGCTAGATTGCAGAAAACTACATAGTCTATATCAATATGACGACTATCGATAACTATCGATATAAGTGCAAGACTAAACCCGAATTTAGTTACATTTTCGTTACCCCATAAATCTCCGTAGAACATAGACTGTCTATACTTCTTGCTGATATTCCAACTTCATCAATATTTCAACAACTCGCAGCTCTCCTCTAAATGGTATCTCTTAGTCGGTCCATCTCAACGAGTGAACTCCAACTTGTTTTTAGTTGTTGTTAGCCTTAACAATGACATCACTTGGCTGGCCTGCGGCTATATGTAATGTCAGCTACCGATGGTGGGGCTGCTGGGGGCACTGCTGTGCTAACGTCTACGTTAACAAAAGCTCCAATTGCCTTAAGCAGCGCCAGTGCCAGCAAATAGTTTATTGCAGCGTCTGGCCCCCTCGCCCGTTGCGCAGCTGCATTTTAGCTGAAAGTGAACGCGTTTTAGCATTTGTTGTTTTTAGTTCAGCGCCGGGGCATGGACATGGCCCAATACAAGCAGCCGGCAGCTCCAACACATGTTGGATTTATATCATATTCACATACACGCACACACACACACACACACACACACACATACATTTAATATAGAGTAGACGTCAGCACAATGGTTTCGCCAGTGGCTCAGCTACAACTACAGCTGATGGCTGACCATGCCTTCTGCCTCCTGCGCTCCGCCCGCTGCCTTCTTGCCTTGTGCCTTGTGCCTTTCTCCATGCGCAAGCCAAACAGAAATTCATCTAAATTGCAAGCGAACGACTATTAGACTGCTTCAAGCGTTTCGCCATGTGCAATGTGACCTGCTTGCCAAGGCAACGGTCCATGCGGCTATCGCTTCGACTATCTCTCGCATATCGTCTTGATGCAGCTTTCAGCTACAACTACAGCAACAGCAGCAGCAGCAGCAGCAGCAACAGCAACAGCTTCAGTTGAAGCTTGAGCTTTGCCTTTAAACTGCTGCTGCTGCTGCTGCTGCTGCTGCTCCTGCTGCTGTTGGTCCAGTCGCGTGGACTGTGGGCTGTTCCCTGCCATTCTTTATAAATACTTTGACTCACTTGGCCCCTCTGCCTGCGCATTTCTCTCCCCACTCGTTGCGTGCCTTACTCAGCGTAGAATGTCACTGCGAATGTCATACAAATTGCAGTATGCGTTCCTTTCCACTGCCTTGCTATAGTATGCACTTGCATAAAAGAAAAGTAGGAGTTGCCCTCTGACATAAATAACAACTACGAATACTCCAGTGGGCGGTGCTCGACTAGCAAATACCCTGAGATTGAATATTTGAATTGAATAATAAGAGTGTTTATCCATACCAGGGATTAGGTTATTCAAATAATATTATGTATGGGTCTGTTGTAACGAAGATAAAAATATCCAGGGAACGATATATTACACAATATCATATATAATAGTACATCGTATATTATATAAGTATGAGACAAGTGTAGAGCTAGCTTGATAGAATCATACATATCAGAGATACCCCCTATCTGTCTATTATACCCTACTCCCCAAATTACAGGGTATAACAGGTTAAGCAAGTAGCAATCCGCTCGAAAATAGCTCTTCTGCTTCAAGTACTTGGAATCGACATGACTATTCACGCAATGACTGTCAGCTTGAGCTGCATCAAAGCAGATATACTTCACATTTCTACGAATTTCTAGCAGGGTATACACGCACATATCCTTGCACTTATGCATTTAGTGCATATGTGCATTTGCCGACTCCTTAGTTATTTAGCTTAACTCCAGTTCAGCTTCCAAATGATGCCAATATCTCTTTGTTCGGACCTTGCTCTAAGCGTGTTTACAGCTCCAAAGTTTTTCCTTTGCAGCACTTGCAACCAAAAGTTTTCAGCTTAAGCGAGCAAAGCGAGCGAGTGGGAGAAAAGAGTGAGAGGGAGAGAGACATAGGCAAGGGTGACCACCAGCTGCGAGTGCTGATCCCGCCGTTTCCGGCCTCATGCGAATTGAAAGTTTGTTGTAAACAACAGCTGAAGTTGCTCCTGCTCCTGCTGCTCCTGCTGCTCATGCTCCTGCTGCTGCTGTTCCTGCTGCTGCTGCTGCTACTGCTCCTGCTCCTGCTACTGCTGCTTCTGCTATTACTGCTCCTGCCACTACTGTAGGCCAGCACCATTTGCGTGGCACGTGACAGATGGAGCGGCTCGAGCATGCTTGGCGACATGCGCCGACGTTTGTGGCCACACCTAAGTGACATGTTTTTATGGAGAGTTAAGGCCAAAGATTTCGGCTTACTACGTTGACCTGCTTTCTCTCGCTCTTTCTATCTCTCTCACACACAGTGTCTAGTACTCTGTCTGTCTTTCACTCTGTCTGTGTGTCTACCCATATCTCAATTTCTCTTTCTCCCTACATGTCCATATATGTATCTCTCTATGTTCTCTCTATGCCACTTTCTCCCTCTATTCTTTTTTAACTATTCCCTTTCACGATCTCTGTCTTCATCTATATCTTTCTGTCTATTTGTTTTCTTTTTTTCTTTCCCTTCTTATCTCTTTCCCTCTTTCTGTGGCAGTTTCTCACGCTATATCTTTTCAACTTTTCTCTTACCCTTCCTCTCTCTCGATAAATCTGCTTACTTTCATTCCTCTCCCTCTATTTCTCTCTATCTCACACACTTTCTCCGTCTGTTTTTCTTGCTCTCTTTCTTTGTCTCCCTTCGACTCCCTTTCTCTCTCTTTTTTTGCGTCTCCCTCTCGATCCATCATTGTATTCCTCTCTCTCTCTCTCCCTCTGTCTCCCTCCCCGTCTGTCTCCCTCTCTTCTTTCTCTCTCTCGATCATATTTAAATTCCATTTCACTCTGCTTTCCATTTGAAAACCACTTCAATCAATCCACAAAAATCAATAAAATTCAACACCTTTTTGAAGCAATACAGGTAAACTGAGAGCTTCAACTTTATTTCCTTAGTTACTTTAGACATTTGTCCGGATCAGACCAAGCGTAGTTGAGTGGCTCAACTGAACTTCAGAGTGCCCAGAGAGCTGGGACTAATTTTAGTAACTTGTTTAGTTGATGAATTTGTGGCAGCTGGCAAATCACTGCGATTGCCTGTGGCACCAATTGGAGGCTGTTGCTGCTGATGTTGGTAAATGCCTCAATTGATTGCCAGATTGCATTGGAATGCAACAAAGAATTCCGAAAGCAAAACTAATTTTCATTCTAGAAATAATTCGTTGTTTATTTGCTTGCCGGCATGTGAGTGACTGCATGTGTGTGTGTGTGCTGCAATGACTTTCAAGCAATGACTTTCAACATAATTTCCGAGCAGTTGTTGTTGCAGCAGCTGTCGTTGCTGCTGCTGCATATTCTTAAAAGTATTCCTGGAGCGCCAAGCTCAATGATTGGCTGACTGCCTACCTCATCTCCACAACCTACCCCCCCTTGGGGGCCTGCAGCTGGTGGTGTTGGGGTGCGACCTAACTGCACAGGTTCGGCTTTTTGTTTGTCATGCACAATGCATACAAATTGCATTACAATCAGCCAAGGCAAACATGAAAATATATTCAAGAAGCGCCAGACGGAGAGACAACAACAAACTGTTTGCAATCGCTGAAGCAACGAAACAAAGCATACCAAATATTTATTGTACAAACAGTTCACGAAATGAAAAAATGAAAATGAAGAAGTAGAAGAAGAAGTGAAAAGCAGCAATAAAATTTAAAAAAAAGTCAACATTAACGAAAAACTGTGCGAAATATTAATGCGCTTTAATGTTGCATGAAACGACATCAATTCATATCGGAAAACTTCCATGAAATATCAAGCTAAACGCAAATGTCGAAAGCCTTGCGCTAGCTGTAATACTCTCAGTTAGGGTAGCTCTAAAGTCGCTTGCACTGTTTGCATGCGGAGGGCAAAGGGCAAACCGATTGCAAAATTCTAAATGTAATTTAGAAAATTACGAATTGCAACGCAGCCAATGGCTGGGGCGTGGCGCTCTGACACTGAGCTGAAAGGACGCTGCGACAAGGATGTGACCAGTGCGCACGTGTGTGTGCATGTGTGTGTGTGTGTGTGTGTGAGTGTGTGCATCTGTCTGTCTGTGATGTAATTCACGGTCTCTCACACACACTCAAGCAATTATTGGCATTTCTGCTTAGGTTTACTCAGCAGCAACCGCAAACAAATGCAATTTAACAGGATATTCAAAGTGTGTGTGTGTTAGTGTAAGTATGTGTGTGTGTGGCTTTCTGATTTGCTTTTTTACTCGCCTGCTAAATAATAAGAGCATATAGGTTTTCTAGAAAGCTCGCTCAACTTGCTTTCCATTCCTTCATATTCATTCATTCATTCTTAGCTCTTCATTGATCCTTGAAGCACATATACTCATCTATGCAGCACATGCCTATGTCCTGCAAGGCCTTAGATGCTCTAACTTCATTATAATTCAGCCATATCCTTTCTCTGCAAGCCCTGGACCCTCATGGTGCAGTCAGTTAAGCTCGACTGCAGCCTGTTTGCATATTGTTTCCTTTTAAGAGATTGTTGATATTGATGTCTCGATGTCTGGCTGGCTGGCTGGCTGGCTGTCCTTTTTGTTGGCTTTCGATTTGAATTATTATCATTTTTTTTTAATTTGACATATCGTGACTTTGTGGTTGTCATTTATAAATTGCAAATAGAGCACTGAAAAAGGACCCTATACAGGCATGCATATACATACATACATAGATATATATGTATATATGTGTGTATATATGAATATTTGAGTGATCCTTTAGTTGTCGCTGTTTCTCTCTCTCTTTCTCTCTCGCAGTTTCGCCTCTTCCTTTGGCGCTTGTCATTTCGTTTCATTACATTTCATTGTTGTCCTTTTTGTTCGTTTAATGCTTTTGTCAAATATTTACATGCACCTTTTTTTCCCATGCGCCGCTCCTGCGGCTCCTGCTGAGCCATTGTCCTGGGCGCTTGTCCTTCTGCTGACGCTGGCGGCTTCCATTGTAGTTGTTGCCGTTGCCGTTGCTGTTGCTGTTGCTGCTCTTGCTGTTGTTGTTGTTGTAATTGTTATTGTTACTGCTGCCTATTATGGCATTTATTAATTGCTATGTAAATATCTCAAAGTCGCTTTTAAAAACGAATTAGAATTGAAACTGTTAGCCCAGCCGCTCACCAAATGAGCCAACTGGGATTATCATCTGAATGCGAATGTCGAGCTTTCTGTGCTATCTGAATTCTGAATGCAGCTGCTGATTTATTCTGATTTGAAACCAAATTCATTTGTGCTGCGACATAACGTTGACAAAGGCAGAAGAAGAGAGAGAGAGAGAGGTAGAGAGAGATAGAGATATAATATCAGTTCAATAAAGTAATGCAATTCAATTTGATATAATGAGAGAGACGGTATTTAGGAAAAATACCAAATATGAAATGAGAGCCAGATTAAATAGAAGATAGATTAAGTAGAAGAAAAATCAGAGAAAAATAGATATAAAAAAAAGATAATTTTGTAGAGAAATAAAGGGAAATAGCGAGGCTGACCGGGTGAGAGCGGGAGATAGAGAAAGAAGAATGAAACAGAGGGTAACAAAAATAATAATACTGCAAAATATAAATATAGAGCCAGAGACTGAAAGAGAATTCGAGAAAAATCATTGGATTTACAAGAAAAATAGGCTTACTAAAAATAAACTTAATTATATGAGAACTGCATAGAAAGGCATAAGGAAGAATAGTAATATAAGGAAGAATATGAACTGATTGAAAAAAAAATTAGGTAATAATTGAAGTGCAATCGAAATGTACAACTATTAAATAATGAGAAATGGTAAAAGAAATAGCGAAGGGAAAAGGGTAGCAGGCTGGAGAGATAGAAATATAGCACAGAGAGACAGAGAGAGATTGATAATGACATAAGAATTAGAACTAGACTTAAATGACGAGGAAAAGGATAGAGTAGTTAAAAGTGATCTTATGAGAATTACATAGAAGGGCAGCATTTAAGGTAGAGCACATGAATATATTCTGTATACCATTAGGATAACAAATGGTAATGGATAGATAATGGGAGCTCTAGTACAGAGCTGTAAAAGGGAGCAGGTAAATTGGGGAGGCACAAATGAGAAGGAGAGAATGAGAGATTAACGAGTACATTTTGGGAGACAGTAGGAATTACTCAGAATAAAATCAAGCGAATTTAGCATGAAATAACTTATGCTTTTCTTCTTCTTCATCATCCTCCATAGACAAGCGGACATTGGAGCTGCCCCCATGCGACTGATACACCAATAGAACTTGTGCGCAACGGCTAGTGCATATGGCATGGGCATGGGCATGGTCAAGGGGGGAGTGTGGGCCAAATTCCCTTGGTCGCTGTAAATAATTGGCATTGAAATTGAATAAGTAACTTGTGAATGCGACAGAGGCCAGAGTGAATCATATGAATACGCACAGTTTATGGCCATTCATTACGACTGAATGACAGAGCGAATTTGCAGTATTTTTGGTATGCTCGCATATTTACGCTTTTATTTATATTGTATTTCGTTCAGATGGCATCTCGGGCGCACAGCATGGCCATCTCTCAGTCATTGCTAAGCTTGTAAATCTCTTTTTAATTGCATTTTACCGCAAACAAATTCTGGAACTCGACAACGACTAGAACGGGTGAGGGGCGCGGGGCGAGGGGCGACGAGCCATGAGCCATGAGCCACGGCAAAAGGCCCAAAGAGCGAGCAACCAAAAACCGCACCAAAACTAAAATGCAACAGCAGCAGCACCACCCAACCCATTTAGCTGTACAAATTGTTTAAACTTATACCAGCCCACACGCACAGGCACACACACAGACTCACACACACCAACACACAGACAGATTCATATATTCAAATTCGAATAGACGCCCTTTGGAGCCGTCGAGCAGAGTTGGGCTAAGCCGAGCCAAGCGGAGGCAACAGTCACAGTCAATTATACAAATTGCATTTGTGTTGCACACACACACACACAAACAGAGATAGAGATAGAGATAGAGGACATTCTGTATTGGCATTTGGCAACATGTTAGCCGCCATTTCCGGTCGGCCCATGAGCAAACTATAGCCCCATGCAAACTATTGCCCGCACGTCACGCAGCGCGCACAAATCTACATTTTACTCGCTCACGTGTGAGTGTGTGCATGTGTGCGTGTGTGTGTCTCTGCGTATATGTGCGGGTGTGACATGTGCTACTGGCTGTGCGAAAATTTGTTTTGCTCGCAAATGATGATTGAAACACAACGACGCTGAATCTTAATTGAAAGCCAATGGAGCGCACATGGAAAGGCGCTTTTTCCAGCGTCCATTTCTGTTATCTTTTTGCGACCACGCCTCCTTTGCCTATCCGCCCACATGCGGCTCTTTCACCTTGTCTTGCTCGGCTGTGCATTCGTGCCTGTTCACAGTTTATGTTTCACTTTTGCCGTAAGTATTCGCCGGCGATTTCTCATATGGGCTATGCCCGACTGGCAGATACTCGTTCGGCTCTCATGTTACTCTGCAAATCAGAGCTTGATCCATTTTTGACTTCTGCTGCATCTCTCTGGGGCGAAATCTCAATGGGAGTAATAGAAAATCACTCAGATATAGACACTCACAATTCGTTTTGAAACACTTGCTGCAGGCACTCGCAACACTAGGCTGTGCTATTAATTAGGCTCTGGGCTAAAGTTTGCGGCTTTTCACAAATTTCTGAAAGAGTTTCGAATGATCTTTTGACTGAACTTTCGAGCCGTCTTTTCATTTAGAAGTATATCATATTTTTTCTCCAGCTGCCCAAACAGTTAGAGCTCCCTCACTTTGCACACACCTCACAAGAGGCGCCGAGGCTCTTATCATTTAGATTAAAACTTTGCGTTCAATGAAACTAGCGGAGTTTGTTAACGGGTTGTGTCAAGTCCAGGCCCAGGCTTTAGCTTTGGCTCCGGCTCTGGCTCTGGCTCTGGCTCTGAGTTGGTCTTCGAGCTGGCCTGCCTGTTGACTCGCTCGCTCGGTTTCCTTTTGCCCAGTTCATCTTTTAATTAATTCACAGGCTGTGCAAAGTTTTGCGCCGCAACTGCAGGCGGCAACCACTTGGGCCTAGTCCCACACAAATGAAAATGCCGGCAAAGAAGCGAAAGGAAAAAAAATTATCACAGCAAAAAAAATACTAGCCAATGTGCCAGCGGGCCAACGAGAAGATACCCTAGAAAGCAGCCTAGTTTTGATTTGAAATGTATTATCAGAGTTGTCTGAGGTGTTGAGTTAATATCGGAAATATATCGAAGCACGGATTTCAATAGAAAATACGCTTAAGTCTAGATTGTATATGCTATTCATATAAGCAATCGCAATATTCATCAACTCTGGCTCCCTCAAATCATGCGGTAGCTAACTTTAGCTCGATAAGGATTTGTGATCTCTAGGAATTGAGATATTAAGATATAGTATATACAAAAGAAAAATTAAACCTTCACATTCTGAAAAATCAGGGCTGAGCTCCCAAGAGGTATACCAATCAAGCGGAAAAATAGACGGACGGACGAACCTATACGACCGTTCACCGTTAAAGGCCTAGGCTTACATAGGCTCTTCAAATACTGTATACATATGCCTTACATTGGCTATACCTAACCTCATCCTCAACTCTTGCTTCGGCCTGTTACATACGCTCGAGCAAAAACAATACGCCCCGAATGGCCGTTTTCAATGGGATCAGGGTATAATAATAGTCGAAAAGAAGAAATAAAAAACTCGGTTCAAGAAAAATCAGCAGGAAGCACTTGCAACTATGTGGCACAACGCAAAACTTTTCTTATACAAAATTATGGAAAAGTTTTATTTTCATGCATAACAGCGAGGCTTACACTAACACATACACACACAGACACGCATGCACACGTACACCCACACCCACACACACACACACACACGTACACAGCTTGTATTTATTTGCAGCGCATTTTTTATGCCGCTTTCAGAAACATATCCATATATATGTATGTATGTATGTATGTGTATGTATGTGTATGTGTTTATATATGTATATGTTTGCTTATATTGCTTTACTTATTTCGCAGTTCACGTGTGTGTATGTGTAAAGGGCGCATGTGTCTGTGTCTGCTTGTGCGTGTGTGACTGTCTGTATGTGTGTGTGTAAAAGGGAGCATTTATTTATATAGTTTTGTTAGCGAGCTGAAAGTTTTCCAACTTGCTGAAAACTGCGTAAAATTGGCACGTCAAAAGCCGGAAAATTTAAGAAGCCAAACATACAGACACACACACACACATACACAGACACACACGCACACACTCACACACGTAGACAGTTAAAGATGTTTGCCCCTTGCGTTTGCTTAAGCAACGCTTCTGAACATTTTGGAAGAAAATTTTGGTATTTAACATAATGGAATATTTTATACATTCTTAAAAAACAATACAGAATAAAGACGAAGCAAAGTACAAAAATGTGTATGAATATTGCAGTAAGGTGTAAACAACTGTGCGCTGCTCGCTCTCACCTGAATAACGATTACAAATCTCAGACGATACTAAACTGCCAAGGCTGGAAAACTTGTCTCCATGAAAAGCCAATGAAATATGAATACAATAACTGTAAAAAGCCCATATACTCTTTTGTACTTTATGAACGAGTATGAGTTACAAAGAAAAAAGATTTTGCAATTTGTTTGCTGCTCACATTTTGAATGAATGCAATTGTTATTTATATATGTATATATAAATATAATACTAGTAAATATAATTACCAAAATCTTGTATCATACATCTAAATTTTCATGCTCACTCTTGAGAAACATATTTGAGCTATTTAGTAAAGCATGTTGAAAGCATTAATATTATTTATAATTATTTTAATCTATACATATATTTGATGTGTCATGTCTATTGTAATTGTATTGTAACTCAAATTCCATATGCCAAACTATTTGATATTAGGGCTCTTCAGTTCGTTAAATAAAATATTCGTTAAATATTTTGAAATATATATACGTTATGAATAAAAACAAAATAATAATAAATAAAAATACATACATATATATATATATATATATATATATATATATATATATATATATATATATATATATATATATATAAGTTGGATTCATTCTGGATATTTTCTGATTATATAAATCGATATGTTTATGAATAATCGAATATGGCTTAGAATTATAGTCTACCAATTGCTAATTTAAAAGTAAATCTAATATATACAGAAAATTGTCATCATATACCGTCGGTATACCCGGAAAGCTCTTTAACCGCATAGGTTTTCTCATATAAGTTTGTCTGGGGATCAGAATAACTGTACGGACGCTATAAGCGGGGTCGTTGTAACCGGATTCTACTGTATATATATATATGTTTATAATGTATATAATGTATATATACTCACACATATGTATATACATATACATATATACAACATTTTCCACATATATTGCAGTAAGTGTGGCAACAAAACTTAACCCGTTTCGCCTAATCGAAATGGCGCTGGGAAAGCGGCTAAGCGTTAGCCAGTTTATTTAATTACATGTATTTTGCTGGCATCCCAATTGGTTAACGTCCAGAATGAGATTGAAATTAACGAGCTGCCCTTAATGACTCGCTGTCCGGCGCTGGCCTCAAGGCGCACCAATGCCGTCGAGCAGGTGGCAAGGAGATTCGAACGCAACGACAAAGCGATTTCTATCTGGGCGGGGCCCAAGTCGAATACAATAATTTTTATAAGATTCACGCTGAATGCGTAGCGTGCCGTGGCCTGGCGAACGATGAGTGTGGTCCGAGGGAGTCTATTAACTGGTCCTATACGATGATACCAGGCCGAGGCTCAGCATCTCAGCATGGCGCTGAGCGATTGGCGACGTGTAAACGATAATCAAGTAATTTCCATTATGCAAGAACTTGCCGGCACTCGCACCTAGGGGCCATAAAAGCAACGCTAAATTGCGATTGTCGCGACTGTGAGACACCGATACGGACACACGCACATACAGAGAGAGAGAGAGAGAGCGAAAGAGAGCGAGAGAGCGAGAGAGAGTGAGTGAGCGATATAGTAGGCAAACACATTACGCATACGCCGCATGCGACGCACACAAAAGCAAATCGAATTGCGAATTGGCTGCGATAAAGCAGCCCGAGCACAGCCACATACATTGTCAAAGCGAAGTTGTGCAAGCCAAAGTGGTCTCAGAGTTGTTGCTGCCATTGTTGTTGTGGCTGTTGTTGTTGTTGTTGTTGTTGTTGTTGCTGCTGTTGCTATTACTGCTTTTGACTATTTATTGAGCCAGGCATTTCATTGTCCTGAGACAACTTTTTCAGTGTCTATCGCTCTGTGCTTTTAAGGCGCACACGATAATAGCCAATGATGCATGTGTGTGTGTGTGTGTGTCTGTGTCTGTTTGAAACTGTATCACTGTACCACCCACGCTATCTGGCACTCTGTGTCAGCACTTTGCCACAACAATGAGCGCATGGAGGCTAACCTAACATTCCCGGCCCACCAATAATGGCAGCGGCGACGGAAGCGGAAGCGACATACTTACTTAGACAACGCTTTAGTTCAAGGCTGCATTCAGCAGCAGCAGGAGCAGAAGCTGGGGCACTTGTTTATACTGCAAAAGAGCAATTTGCGCCAAGTATAAGCGAGCAGCACAATTGTTTTGCTCAAACTGTGCGCGGTAGTCAATGTCCAGGCGAACAGCCGTGCTCACACACACCTGCGGTCAAAAAAGGAGTCGTAGTAGTGGTATTGGTAGTAATATTAGTAGCAGTAGCAGGAGTAGCAGTAATAGTAGTAGAAGTAGTAGTATAAGTAGCAATAATAGTAGTAGAAATAGTTGTAGTAGTAGTAGTAGTAACTAGTAATAGTAGTTAAAATAATTGTAGTAGTAGAAATAGTAGTAGTAGTAAATAGCAAAATAGTAAAAATATTAGTATTACTAGTAGTAGTAGTAGTGGTAGAAATAGTAATAGTAGTAGTAAAAGCAGTAGTAGTAGGAAGTAGTAAAAATATTAGTATTACTAGTAGTTGTAATAGTAGTAGTAGTACTAATAAAAGTAGTGGTAGTAGGAAGCAGTAAAAATATTAGTATTACTAGTAGTAGTAGAAATAGTAGTAGGAAGTAGTAGTAGTAGTAGTAAACATATTAGTAGTAGGAAGTAGTAGTAGAAATAGTAGTAGGAAGTAGTAGTAGTAGTTGTAAACATATTAGTAGTAGGAAGTAGTAGTAGAAATGGTAGTAGGAAGTAGTAGTAGTAGTCGTAAACATATTAGTAGTAGGAAGTAGTAAAAATATTAGTAATACTAGTAGTAGTAGTAGTAGTAAAAATATTAGTAGTAGGAAGTAGTAATAAATATAGTACTAGTAGTATATTTTACAAGCCAAACCCCTTTAAATATATATTTCATCGCATGTGTTTCGAATTCTTTTGATATCGCCTTGCCAGTTAAGCCTTGGGTAGCGGTAGCGGACAAGGAGTAGTCTTCTCGCTAGTATACTGCGAGGACTCCACCTATCCATCTATCGCAGTATCTGCTTATGCTTATGTATGTGTTGCTCGAGTGAGTGCAGATTCAGGTCGCTGTATTGCTTCAATTAACAAGTCTCTCTAGAAGCTCAATGAAATAATGCGAATTTCGTATTCCATGGAACTACTTGTTATTTAGAATACATTCTCTAGCCGCGCCAGAGTCGGTGCATAAAAAGCAAGTGTTTCTGGTCATCAATTGTCATTTGTTGCGGCTGTCTCTCACGCTGTCGCTGTGTGCGTGCGTGTGTGTGTTAACAGTTAATTGTTTAGGTCGTATGTCTCATAATGTGCACATAGCACGCTCCCACAGTCACTCCCCAGCCCCAGCTCCCTTCGTCCCTCACGCTCTGGCGTTTGTCGCCAAATTGAGTCATTAGCAGATATATAAAACGAAATGGGCTCCACACAGCTCATTGGCACGTTCCGAGCGTCAATGATGACGCTGACGTTGCCGCTGTTATAAACACATATGCGCATTACGCATACGCCCCGTCCTCGCTGCCCATTGGCCAACCAGCAGCCAAAAGCAAAAAAAAAAAAAAAAAAAAAATGAAAAAGAAGACAGAAGAAAAGAAAAGAGCGTGCAGCGATAACAGCCAACAGCAGCCAGGCCAGGCCAACAACGAATGCCAGCTAGTTGCCTTTTATGTTCGGCCATTAGCCGCCTGACTTTCAAATTGTAAGCCAAGCAGCCGAGCTCTTCTTAAATGGCCAACATTATTTTCCATATTATCAGTGCACATTTGTTTGTTTGTTTAAAGTCACAGGAGATATTTATTAACTTGTCGTTTCCATTTGTTAAGCAATTCATAAGAACTTTGCGCTTAACAACAATCAATGGCCAAATGTTTCCATCTGCGGGTCGAGATGCAGTAATAAGTTAGCAAATTTCCTTTTGCTGCTTCTTCTTCTCAGCTCAATTTGAGTTCGTATGTGATATGCTCTGAAGTTTATTATCACTATAAATATAAATTTCTAGATATCTTCACATACTCCCATCAGATCTGCTATTCTTACAACATATTTAAATTTAAAGTCATTAAACCAAATTATATAATTCTTCACTTTACTCTACCAACTCTTCAAACTTCCATGAAATGGAAAGGAAAATTATTAAAAAAGTAAATCTTAACAGTACATTGGCTATGACTACAATCTGAAAAGTTCTTTCGAATTGACAGACATACGGATATTGGATATTGGAAAAAAGACAGACAGATAAGATGGCAATTAAATAGATAGGCGAATGGTTCAAGCAAATACTAAGCTAAATTACCATGCATTAGCTTAGCTTCTAAATGAACAGTTAATAAGAATGTGATGACTCATGAACAATGAAGTAAGAACACTGATTTCCTACTTTTGATGCTCTATGTTTTCATTTGACTTTTCACTCTGCTTCAACTATGTTGATTTATCACGTTGGAATAGCCAAGAATCAAAGCAAAACACATTTAGCCAAAACATCTGTCCAAAATGAACAGAGCGTAGAAAAAGGTGATATCTCTTCAGCATAGGTGAGTAGTAACATTGGGCCACGGAGAGATCTGAGAAATCAAAAAATTATGTGAAATATATGACTTTATGTTTTATACATAAAGTAGAATCCGGTTATAGCGTCCGTTCTGTTATGGCGATGAAAATTCTGGTCCCCTAGCCAACAGATATTCATCTACGTAATATATGTATATACTCATATACTTAGCTCTGCCCCAGTAGGCATTGCTTAAGTCTAATCTACTTTGAATTTTACATTAACTCTGGCGTACAATGAATGAATAAATAATGCAAAATAAATACATTTGCACACATCGGCCGCGCAACCTTGTGAAGGCAATGCAACTTGTCTGATTGCTGCCTCTGATGAACGTCTAAAGGTCGAGTAGCCTCGGCGCTGCTAGTTTCAATAGTGCGAGGCTTATTTCGGAGCACAAGGCCCAGGAGTAGGCCAACGAGCGGAGCAGCAAGTGATGAAGTGCGGAAGGGGCAGAGCAAGGCGAAGGGAATGCACATTGCACTAAACAAGGCATCGTATGGAGCACCTGGTCAAGCAAGTGTCAGCGTGGCATTTGGCGAAAAGGCCAAATTCACGAGCGAACTGAATGCACGCCAGCGAAGCAGCCACAACTCAACACGTGGTGAGTGTGCGCCCAGAGCGAAGCCTCTGCATTTAAGAGAGCCGCTCAGCCAGCAGAAGAGAGCCGTAAGTCGTCGAGCCGTGAGTCGTCAAACCGTCGAGCCGTGAGCCGTTGAGCAGCGGCAAATGTTATGCAAATGCTGGAGCCAACGAAATGGACAGCTGCCACAGCGTCAAGAAATACAAGTTGTCTAAAAGCGTTTACTGCTTCTTATTTGCGTTTTTGCTGTTGTTGTTGTTGTTGTTGTTGTTTTTTGTGTTTTTGTTGAACGCTTCGCATAACTCTGAGCGTTCGTTAGTCGAAAGAAGCAGCCGTTGGAGTCGGCGAGTCCAGCGAGCACTAAATGACTGACTGACTGACTGACACACACACACACACACACAGCTGCACTCAGACGCGCACACGCACACGCACACGCACACTTGGGCGAGCCTTGAAGCATGCTCTGAAAACTTTGAAGTGCACTTGCAACGGCTGCATCGCTGTTGCAGCTACAACTGCCCCGCTTTGGCTTGGCAAACAAAAATAATGCCATTTGTCAGCCGCGAGTTATACACCCACACACACACACACGCCAACACACACACAGATTTTGTGTGTTGCTGCTATAACAACAAGGGTCATTCGCTATAATGAGTACACACTTTGGCATCTTGGCCCCAGACAGCGCGTGGCAGGTGTCCTCTAACCATATGCATAGATAATCAGCTGCTGCTGTCAGCTCGCTCGTACAGTTGTCTCAGCCACTGAGCGACAGTAATTATATTGGATCTACTACATGTGTGCACAGAGTTGAGCGAGCGCCACGTCTAGCCCCAAGACTTAATGCGTTTCCAATTATGTAAAAAATTAGTTTCTAGTTAGTTTATGCAGTTTATGCAAATGTGTTTTTAGTCAAGCTCTTTTTTAAAGACAAACAGACAGTGGGCTGGAAAAAAAATGGAAGCACAGAGCGAATTAGTATGAGGAAAAGAGAGAGAAGCGGAATAAATGAAATGAAATGCCAAGAGTCAAACGTCTATGCAAGGGTCCAACTACAATATTAAATTGATGCGTCTGACTGGGCCAGAGCGACTTGCACAGCTCCTCAACTGGAGCTAGACTGACCTATGATTTATCATTGAAGAAAGGCGATAAAGGTTTTGAAAATAAAGGAAATATTTAACTAAAATCTTAGACAAATACTATACTAATACAAATACTAATAAATATAAATATATAAATATATTAATACATAGATAAATACATACAAATTAATTAATAAAATATACATACAAATTAATTAATAACAAAAATAAATATTTATGCATATAAAAAGATAAATAAAGATATTTAAAGATAAAAAATGTTTATAATTACTTAATAATAAACAATATATTTAAAAAATATATGTTTTTAAAGATGCATAAAAGTATATGAAAATATAATAAATATATGAAAGCATACAAATATATAAAAATTCAATACATAGAAAAAATATATATCTATTTGAATATTTAAAGAAATTTTAGAAATATTTTTCAAATGAGTAAGAAATAAAATAATATAAAAATAAAAAAAAATAAAAATAAAAGAAATAATAAAAATTTGACTTTTTAAAATGTATGTATAAAAAGAATTTAATGATATGAAAATGAATAAGTAACCCTAAAAAAATAAATTACATATATTTATTTTAATATCTATGCAAATACATAAATATATAAAAAAAAAAATTATGTAAAAATAAGATATAAAATTAAATATAAAATAAAAACTAAGTAAAAATATATTTACATAAATATAATAAAATATAAAATATCAAAAAAAATTAAAACAAAAAATCATTTCCTTTTTAATTATAATAATCATATCAAACGAATATAAATATATTATAAGTTTGATACAGAGTCAGTTAAAAAGTTTTGTTCATATTTGAATTTGATACATTAAAAAAAAATAATCACACATTTTGTATATCATTTAAATATGATTTATAGATCAGAACAGACCTTCTCATGGTATATTCCCTCGCATTTGCTTCGCTAGCTGTGCACAGCGAAAAAAGCAACACTATTAAAACTGACCGAAATGCAGGCGTGAACATTATAAATGGCAAATGTTTAAAGCTGTTGACAGCATATTCAAAGTTGCATGAGTGGAGTGACTTGCAGATTTTTAAATTCTACTATGGAGCACAACAAAACTAACAGCAAGTAGCGGCAGCTTGGCCACACAGTGTGCGGCACGTGTATAAGAGTTTTTTTTTTTTTCTTGCGCTGCGTTGTTGGTTTTGCCTTTGGCATTCGTTTGCTTTTAAATGCCACGCGAAATACCAAAAGCGGCAGCAATATGCAAAGTGAGCGTGTGTGCGTGTGTGTGAGTGTGGGCGTATGCATGCTGATATTGCTTTTAGTTCTGGCAACTACTGCAGAGCAGTAAGTAGCAAGCGGCAAGGCTTTAACCGACCCACGAGGCGGCGGCGTTTGCTGTCATTGCCAGCCTTTTGGCAGCCGTACAACAAACGCGTCTGCGGCCTTTGGGCATCAGCAACAGCAACAGCAACAACAAGTTGTTGAAATATGCGAACATTGTGCCATCGCCGTCATTGTTGCTTCTCACCAGCACATACACACACACACACACACACACACGCACATGTGTCGTCTGCGTATTGAAGACTTGATAATTATATTGCATACCTAGAGGCGCGCAACTTAATAAGTGCGTAACAAGCTATAACACGCGGCGAGTGTGAATTTCCGGCCAACAGCAGAGATGGAGAGCAAAGAACAAAACCGGCATTCAACAAATATATTGGCAAGTCAAGCAACGAAGCCCGAATACCCTACTTAGCATAGAATATGGGTTAAAGTGAATAGATTACGATAGACGCCAAATGGCAAAGAGAGCGAAAGAGATGGCATGGGTACTATATAATATATAATACAATAATAACAATTAGGAATCTATCAGGTATAGCTATAAGGCAAGTATGATAAGTATGATAATAAGCATGGCTAATATAGAATACAACAATAACAATTAGAAATCTATCAGGTACAGCTATAAGGAAAGTATGATAAATAATAATAAGCATGGCTAATATATAATATAATAATAACAATTAGAAATCTATCAGGTATAGCTATAAGGAAAATATGATAAATAATAATAAGCATGGCTAATATATAATACAACAATAACAATTAGAAATCTATCAGGTATAGCTATAAGGTAAGTATCACTCAATGCGC